TAGGCCTCGGCTCTCGCTTCCAGACTCCTCTTTACCGCCTCCTCGGCAGCTTCGGTTGCGGCCGCCTCAGATCTCGACGTGCCGGGCTCGTGAGGCTCGCCCAACCCGCCCGATGTCGGCCACGTGTAGGCATGACGTGGAGTCGCCGTGGCACGCGGTCTCGAGCGAAGGGACAACCGGTTTCCTCGCAGCTCAGGGTCAGCACAGACCAAGTGGCGAAGCAAGGAGCTGTTGCCTAAAATGTAAAAGGGAAAAATGGCTTGATCATAATCGAAGCAGGGACAGAAACGAGTGTCTGCTTTTCACATTACTAGGCTTCGCTACTACTTGATCGCCTGAGGGGATTTAAGTAGTGCTAGTTGCATATTTCTCAAAAGCTAGATCTACTTATAGCCAAAGTAAGTAGTGTCGCGATAAAAGTGGCAAACGACTGGTGGTTTAATCGACAGTCCCATTATAAAACGTCACTTGAGCAGCGGCTGGCCTGCTGCGACTCTGTAATGAAGGAGTGAAGGTCGTCAAGACACTCACGCTCCGGACTCGAATCCAGTTCGGGTTGTTGCTGAAAGACGGTGAGATGAGGTCGAAAGTGGATGAGATCAACGTTTGGGAAGACCAATTGGCATTGTGAGGCGGAATCATGCCATTCTGGGGGAACTCAACTGTCAGGCTTTAAATCATCCTCAGCGACAGAGTTCGACTAAGTTGTGGTTCGAGCAGGTGGGTGTTGTAAAGCGCAGATCATACCACTTTTACCCACTTGACTATAGCAATATGGCAAAAGTATGCTTCGGATGTGCTGGAATTAGAGAAAAATGCCTTAATCGGTCTTGCCCGGTTGAGGTGAATTTTGAGCAAGTTTTAACCACGACACAATAAACTGTGTCCTACGAGTTAGTCAGGAGGATTGCCTCAACTCTTCACTCTGGCGAGTTGTAATTCGCCGGTGAAGGTGACGCCGGCTCCGATGAGACGTCTGAAACTGTGCATCAAGTCAGATGGCGGACGCTGGAAATGGTCACGAATGCTCGAAAACGGACGTCGCATGGCCGAGTAAGGGTTTCTTCGGATCCTTCTGGTCCTTGACCAGACTTCACTTTCGGTTACGACTGACATTGAACTGACATTCATTTCGACTGAATGTGTGTGTGGTGAAGCGGGTCATGGTTCGGACCCACTAGAAGCCCTCCAGATTAGCAGGTGTCTTCAAGTGACCAAATCACCCACAAAAATGCATACCTTTATTGTATAAATATAAAGATTTTGTTTTAAAAAACGCACTACCCTTTTTTTGGTTAAAATGACAAAAATTTAAACAAGTCGATAATACATAAAAGATAACTGTATTTTTTTAATTATTTTACATTTCTATTGTTTTAATAAGTTTAATTTGGACTATTTTATCATTTTGTAAACTTTATTGTTAAAAAAACGCACCACTAGTCATTTATTATTTTGTTGAATCATCTTTGGCTTTATAAAGAGCAATAGCTCGTTTTTGAAAACGTTCAGCCAATCTCATTGTCATATCCGTGATTATTTCTGCACAAGACGTCTTAATTGCATCTTTAAGTTCGTTGATATTTTAGGCTTTTATATGCCTATTTTAGACTTTATAATCCCGCATAGGTCCTCAATCGGGTCCATGTCTGGTGATTGAGCAGGCCAAGGCAATACTTCTACATTTCTTTCTCGCAAAAACTCTGATGCCAGCTTTGATGTGTGTCTTGGGTCGTTGTCTTGCTGGAAAATGTACTGATTCAAGTGATTGGTACATCAGATTCAAAGAGATTATTGGTAAGATGCGCACATATTGAATAGCACCCATTTAATCCTCTATAAACACCAACTTTCCAACTCCATAATATGAAAAACAGCCCACACCATTACACTTCCATCTCCATATTTGACAGTTTTGTCAATATTTTGGGACATAAGTCCTGTTCCAGGCTCTCTCCACACAAAGGACTTGCCATCGGAGTTAAACAAGTTGAATTTCGACTAATCACTGAATATGATGGCCTTTATTCTCTCTATTCCCATAAATAGCCACTTCTTGTCCCATTCAAATTAGAGCTTGACATTTTTTTC